AATTGAATATTAAAATGATATCCTCAGTACTATTTCAAAACTTGTACACTTTTATCACGACGAATTAGTACAGACCTTCATATAAAATGTATTTGTGCCTTACTTTTATCTCTTTTCCTTAATATTATCAGGAATTACCCATTATAATGTTTCTATACAAATTGTAGTACAATTGTAGTACTGGTCAGTGATTAATTTCACATGGAATATTCAGTTCAATACTTGAGTATTAATATTAAAATACTGGCCAGTGATTTATTACACATGGAATCCTTGGTTCAGTACTTCAGTACTAACATTGAAATACTCATCAGTAATTCAACACAAGTATTTATTACACAAGTATTTTTCACCTAGTATTAAATGCTTTCTCATCAGAAATTTAATACTAAGTATTCAATACTCGTCCTGTATTAAATACTACTTTCATAAATTACTGACCAGTAATAAAATACTATGCAATACTTGGATCACAGTGATTCAAGTACTAATAAATACTTAATTTTAGTATTATTAATACACAAAATAAGTATTTATTACTAACCAGCTAGTAATACTTTTTTGTAACAGTAGGAAGACCGAAGAAAATATACCAGCCGGCGGCGAACAACGATGAAGAAGGAGACGATGAAGAGGACAGCGAATCATCCAATGACGAGGGTCTACCCAGGGAAAATCTAGGCGACGACGATGCATTTCTGGAGTGTAATATGTTATCAACACAGGATCCGGTGACGTGGCGGGAAGCGGACGAAAATGGATGTGCTGAGGACTGGAGAGTGGCATTAGAAGACGAATATTTAGCACAAATCCGAAACGGCACTTGGGAAATTGTGCCCAGACCACGAAATCGAAAGGTAATTGGAAGCAGATTTGTTTTTCAAACTAAAGAAATCGGGCCAATCACAAAAAGGAAGGTACGCCTTGTGGCGAAGGGCTGCTCACAACAACCAGGGGAGGATTTTCACGAGACTTATTCTCCGGTGGCAAGATCATCATCCATTCGACTTCTAGCAGCCACATCAGCGGAGCTGGGATTACAAATCCACCAAATGGATGTAGTGACGGCATACCTCAACGGCGAGTTGGAAGAAGAAGTATATATGGAAATACCTGAACAATTACGAGAAGTACTGTTAAAAATTAAAGCCGGAAAACGTGTCGGTTCGAGCACAGAAATAAATCGCAAAAACGACGTGATACGAACTGCGAAACGTTGGCTGGATGCGATGAAACAAAATCAGGATAACGTATGCCTACTGAAGAAGGCCCTCTACGGATTGAAGCAGTCAGGGCGACAATGGTACCGGCGTCTCGTATCGAAGCTAAAACAGCTGGGCATGAAACAAACCAGCCAAGACCAATGCATTTTTACATCATCAAGGAAGAATGGTCGGTTTATGATGATTGTAATCTACGTTGACGATATCTTGATCGCTACGAACGATACAAACTGGCTTAATGAAGTAAAAAAATCGTTATCCGAATCCTTTGAAATGAAAGATCTCGGACGCGTAAATCAGTGCCTTGGAATCAAATTCCGGCAGAGCGAGAAAAATTATATTGTCATTTTGAGCCAACAAAAATACACAGAAGCTATCCTGGAACGCTTCGGCATGCAGGATTGTAAGCCTGCGAAAATTCCTATCGACACGAACATGCAGTTGATGAAACCAACTAACGTAAACGGAAGAATAATGAGGCAATACCCATATCAACGTCTCATTGGAGCACTTATGTATCTGGCAGTGACTACCAGACCTGATATCGCGTATGCAGTAAATTTTATGAGCCAATTTAATACCAATTATTCGACGGAGCATTGGGTGGCAGCCAAGAGGATCCTCCGATATTTAAGGGGTACCATGAATCTTGGCATTATGTACAAAAAATCAGGCATACCGTTATATGGAGTGGTCGACGCGGACTGGGGTGCTAACATGGTCGACAGGCGATCGTATTCTGGGTATGCGTTCATACTCGCAGGAGCGGCAGTGTGCTGGGAAACTAGGAAACAACGCACCGTGGCTTTATCAAGTGTTGAGGCGGAGTACATGGCGATATCGGAAGCAACGAAGGAAGCAATCTACCTCAAGGGCGAGCGCGATTCCATTACCGTGTGATCGAATTGCGTTGTTCAATGACAATCAAGGAGCACAGCGTTTGATTTGCAGTGATGACGTGCCTCATTCTAGGACCAAGCACATCGATTTACGCCATCATTTCGTCAGAGATCACTGTGCGTCTGGCGAAATCGAACTGCAATACATGTTAACGAATGAGATGCCCGCGGACATTTTAACAAAGGGACTGTCCGGATATAAGCATATCATCTGCCAGGACGGGCTCAGAATGATCGAATCACACGAATAACGCGGCTCGACTTATGACTTCGAGGGGAGGTGTTAGAGACGCGAAGTAAATGTTATCGAGCCGGTAGCGCGATATGTATCGACGCGTATCTTTGGGCTGTTGACGCCTGTAACCTTGTCACGGAGTAAGTCTCGAATAAGTTGTCACGCGAGACACATACGGTTGGAACGTCGCGAGTAGTCGATCCTTCTCTTTGTAATCTCATTGGAATAAATTGTTAGTTGCATTATATCTCACTGCGTCAGTTATATTTCCCCATCAAAATGAGATATAGGTACAGAATAAATGACGTGAGATCCGAAAAAATGAAACTTCCCGCACGATTGATATTATAATTAATCAATAACTGCATTGTTATAATTAAATAATTAAATAATACAAATCTTTATTTTACGATTATCGATATAAATGTATCTCGTTACATTTTTCTATCACTTTCTATCAAAATTATTTTTGATACAACGTAGTTATTTATTATCGCAAAACTATAATAAATTGTACTATATCATCAGTTCTAAAATAATATAAATTTTTAGTACTTCGACAGAATATTTAGAATCTCACGTCATATTACTTGACTTTATCTAGCATAAAGCCAATTTTTCAATCAAAAATAGATGAATAGGCTACAAAAAATTAGGGTAAAATCGATGTTTTGTGAAAATAAATTTTAGTAATAAATAACAATATTATCACGTTTTCTATCAAATATTCTAAATATTTTTATATATTGCTTTCTTGCATCGATTTATAAATATTTAATCTTGGTTAAATATATGGAAATAAATAAATAAGTATAAATAAAACACATCCTAACTAACTCATAATTTTTCCCTATCTACAAATATTTTTTTCTTATAACATCTAATTCTAACACAATATTTTACTTATTCTTATCTCTTTTGTTTAAGAAAAAAAAAAATATATATATATATAATGTTGCAAAAATAATTCTTTAAAGAAATATAAAAAAAATTTTGTATTTAAAAAATCATTACTTTTGTGGAGATTTGCGTATTCATTTTATATTGATCTGTTTATATACGTTGCAATTATTCACTGTATTTTATTTTAAGCCCATGTAAACGAACTTTAGTTTTTCTTTACACACTGCGCATCTGTTAAAGGTGGCGAACCTGATCTTTTTCTCCTCGTGTATATTCTACTCTATGTTACGCCATCTCTATGTTCTTTATGTTCAACCAAGATGTCGTCGTTCGGTCGTAAGAGAAACGACACGATATTATAATAAAAGTTTATTTTGTGTCAATCCTGCTTTCAATCAATTTCATCCAACAACTTTAATTTATTAGAGAATTATTTTCCTTTGTTTCTCTTATGTTTCTGAAATATTTATTATTTACTCTAGTTTTAAATAGAATTGATCTATGTAATAAAAATTCAAAAATTTAATTTATTATGTACTTAAAAATTTTACTCAAAAGTAATTTATATAAAACGCGGCAGTTTGTTAACATAATTTAATGGGTTCTTCGCGAGCTCGGTGCGTGCAAAGTGTGCGAGTATTTCTTCAAGCACAATCGCACAATAAATCAATAACAATCTTAATAAACAAATGATACCAAGATTAAATATTTGCCATAATCAGTTTTAGCCCATCCATTTTAAGGCAATGAATCTACAAAATGATAATATATTTCCATACTATAAATTATTGTAATTTGACATGTACCGAGATATATTATTGCTCTATATTTAATTATATATTCGTAGATTCGTTACCTCAATAAAAAAATTTCTCATTGACTCACCGATTCGATGCGCAACGAGCGGATCGAGTTATGCAGCCACGTAGCTACAGTGATACTGTAACATACAAACATAAGATTTAAATTTAAAAAATGCTCAAAATTATTAACATTTGAAAAGTTAATTTTTACGCGTCTCTATAATTCGTTTTTCAATATAAAATATTTAGCAATACCCATGGTAGAAATACAAGGGTATGCTCTTGCGCATATTTCCGAACCCAGCCAATCAGCGACTTGTTCAAGCTTACGTCACACTGAGCGGTACATTTAAGCAGCGAATCTATAATAGTCATTTATAAAAGCATTTTGAGCGGACAATATGTGAATACAAAATAATGTTGATCATTTATGTGAGAGAAAATTCTGTTTTATAAATAAATAAATATATATGAACAAAAATATATAAATATAAAAAACGCACGTGACATACGGATAAACGCTCATCGTTTCCCGAATTTGTCTCTCGTTGTAGATGTTAGAAACGTTATTGTTATTTGACGAATTTTATAATTATTTTATGTGGATTTGTCTAAATATATGATATTACAGAAAATATTATTATTATTAAGAAAAAAAGAATTGTGTGCATTGAATAAAAATCATTGCGACGTACGGAAAAATTTCACATAAAACGAGATTTTAATTTCCAGTCATTTATTATTAAAATTCTGCAAATTATTAGTTTTAATCAAAACTGGTCGGAAAACGATTGGAAAAGAATTGTCAGCTGAGACGCAAAACAAAAATATATTGTGGCGTACGACATAAAGAACTATATATGCAGAGGAAAGATGCAGATAAAAGATCAAATAACAATAAATGCAAATATTTAATCGAAACTTCATTTGATACAGGCAAAGGCATTGTTTCAGCTAACACATTTTCGTTTGATGTTAGTGGAGGTACTGCATGGAGATGCAACGTCGGGATAGCATCAGGATGTATCTTCCTAGTTCGTGTAGGTGAATAACCTAGTAGATGTTCTTGTAAGGGCTTCGTAAAAGCTTCATCAGCAAAATGCTTCGAACATATCCTAGCTGAAGCAAACAAGGTTCAAGATTCTTAAATATATGCTTATAATAATAAACAAGAGAAATCTGTGGTACAATATTAGTTGCTTTCCATTTACATCAAAACTCAGATAATTCTCACTTGTGACGTCATAACTCAGTTAAATGCACGTTCCTTTTGCATGATGGCAAGTGAGATTCAGCTGAGTTTTTATCCACAATCGAGACTGTTGCGATAATCTGGGAACGCACGGTTGCGAGAGATAGGGTAGCACAGAGAAATCAGACCGTTATGTATGAAAGTCGCATTTATTCTGAAGACGATACACACTCGCACGCCGGTAGCTGATATCTGCGACAGAATTCGGAGCAGGAGCACAGGTGATAAGAGAGGGGTGGTTTGGTCTATCCCGGCCCGCCTCGTGCCGACCTCGTGTCAGCATTCCGATCGCGAAAGTTCGAGAAGCGCGAAAACTAATCGTCCTCAACAGAGACCATGTGCTTTAATGAATCTAATAAACTCACATTAAAAGTGAGGCTATGGACCGGTATTATTATTATGCGATAGCTTTGCCACCAAAATAAGCAGGTAAATACAAAATGACATATCTTACCTGAGTATAAAAATACTCACATATCTGAGTGACTCAGATCACTTGAGTGTAAATGGAAAGCAACTCTATACAAAAGTACATACCATTTATTGGTGAAATATTTTCTTTTCCGCATGCTTGACGCCACTTATTACACAGTGCTGGATCCTTTGGGAAGGAAAAATATTTTATTTTATTTCCTTCGATCTTTCTGGTCTTTGCCAGATAGTTCCCACACCCTTTCACATTACACGTCATTGCGTACACTGTAATAATCACAAACGAATTACTCGACATAAACAGCGAACCGAGCGAACGCAGCCATTGCGAATCACCGAGTACATCCGATTCATTCCGATGCTACACGAATATGACGTAAGCTTAAACAAAAGTGGTGGGAATGCGCAGTGGTCTGACACGGTATGAGCATACCCTTGTATTTCTACCATGGCAATACCATTATCTGTTTATCGAAAAAGATCTTTACAAGAATAAAATTTTAGATAATTTCTTTTTCTTTAATTATTTTTAACTTATCAAAATTAAAATTAAACAATTCGAATAAATGGAAACAAATTATTAATTTTATGTAGCTAAAAGATGATACTTACCACAAGGTTGTTCCGCCGGTGCCCGATGTCTCTCTCAGACCTCCTCCTCCTCTCAGGACGTTAGGTCGTCTCCTACTTCTTCCCCTCCTCTCACATGACACTCGCGAGAAACACTCGCGGATAATCAACTACAATCGCGCGCGGACTAATTATTAGTAAAAATCTTTCGCGCGCGATGTACGGCACTCCCGTTTAAAAAGCCCATGAGAAGGATATTCCGCCAAGTACGCCGTAAGTAATATTCTTCAAATGGGCTTTGAAAAAGTCTTGTAGTCCGATTACTTAAACGGCACTCCCGAAACAAACGCGACGAACCGGCTGCGGTTTGTTTATTTAATTAAATCGGCGGACGCGAGAGTACGTTAGCTTCCCCGTCTTTGGAATTTTATCCAAGCAGAACAAGAGTTTTGGTTGGGTAACACATCCTCGGGGTACTGATGAGCCTTCCCACCTCGCCAAGGTCGTACCCCCATGGGAAGGAAGTGCTCTACCGTGTAATATATCATACCGATTCATTCCGCATTAACATTATCGCTTTAAGGCTATTCTACAATAGCGTAAACGTAGGGTTGTAGGGTTGTAGGGTTGTAGGAGTAGTAGTAGTCGTAAGTGTTGTACAAAATGTTTTCACGTTTATATTTCTATTTCGACAAAAAGAATAATAGCGGCGTGGTCACGTGAATAATAGCACTCGATTGGTTAGCTCTTACGTTTTACATCTTCGTAGTCGTAAAAGATGAAATTTAACCATCTTCCACAACACGCTTTACAAAGTACTACTTTACAACTACGCCTACAACCACTTACAACTACGTTTACGCTATTGTAGAATGGCCTATACGTTAAATGGCCCGGCGATGAAATGTTTGAATAAGATGTCGGCATTGTCGGCAACTTGGCGCGATATACTATGCGAGTCGAGCGGTTGGTTAAGTAAAAAGACACGCTATTGAAATTAAATATCACACGCGCGGTACGGTATCGAACTCGTAAATCTCGCGAAAGTAAAACTGCATTATTAACACTTTGCACGACGAAGAATCGTGACTGCCGGCCGCTAACTTACGCGACGCGACGCGAGATATACGAGATTATTTCACGAACGGGGAACGGACGATATATCATGGCGCGGCGTTCCGTCATGACGGATTCGAGTGCACTCGAATCACTCTCGACGCGACAATATATCACTAACAATATCAGTCCTTTCGGAGATAAATTACACACGACAATTCCGGCACAGCGTTCGAAACACACGGCACGAGATAAATGAATGCTACATTCGAGTCCAGACATACCTATGGCGAGACAAGCACTACGAGCACTACGATTATCGCCCGCGAATGTCACAATTCACAACGAAACTGAAAATCATTCACATTGTTCACAATTGCCGTACGTACGGGTCTTCGCTTCGACGCGACGTCTCCGGTTCGATGGATTCGAGCGATCGATTTGCGCACATTCGTTCCGACAAACACTTGACTTGCATTTGCGTAGTCGATCATTCCCGCGGTCCGCGGGAATAAGCCAGGAATGCCAATCATAATAGAAACGAGTGATCGAGCGCGTTTTGAAAAACACGGCACAGAGCACGGCAAATTTTTGTGAAGTTGGCCGGACAACTTCAACGTATCAAACTTTCATTAATTGGTATCGATTGGTAGCCGTTTGGTGGTCTATGGTAGTTTAGTCCGATCGTTTGGTGGTTAGCCGTTTTCCTGTAAAATAAAAATAAAATATCCAACTTTTCACAAACTTTTGTACAGACGACTATTTTGTACAGATAAAGGTTGTGAAAAATCACACTAATGTTCTACAGTGTAGGGTTTTAGAATGACCACGAGTGTATGCTCAAGTGTGCCCACTAGGTGTTTTCGAACGCATTGGGTGTGACATAATACACACAGGTGTTGTTTTCGAACGCACCCTTTGAGACGCTTAACCGCCGGACGTTAGCCAATTTCGTTCTGCGAAATTAACTCGTATTTAGATATTTATATTAATATTATATAATATTAATATTATATTAATATTATATTTATATTATATTATATGTTATATTAATATTATATTTATATTAATATTTATCTATATATATAAGTACCGGACGTCTGTCTGTCTGTCTGTCTGTCTGTCTGTCTGTCTGACCGCGAACTACTCATTCGTTAGTGGACCGAATTTTTATCAAGGGTACATGAAATGGGGGTAAAATTTCCCGGGGAGTGCCATAAAGTGTATAGTTTTTCGTTACCGATTTTCTGGAAACCGATTTTTCTAATTTCTCTAATTTTTCGGGAAATAATCGACCGAATTTAAAAGAATTATATATGAAACAGAGGTAGAATTTTCCGGGGAGTGCTATAAAGTGTATAATTTTTCGTTACCGATCTTTTTGGAAACCGGTTACAAAATTTTTCCAATTTTTCGGAAATTAATTGACCGAATCTTAAAAAATTATATGAAGTAGGGGTAGAATTTCCCGGAGATTGTCATAAAATATATAATTTTTTGTTACCGATCTTTGGGGAAATCGGTATCAGAAAATTTTCAAATTTTTCGGAAATTAATTGACCGAATTTCAAACAATTGTATATGAAGTAGAGGTAGAATTTTCTTGGGAGTGCTATAAAGTGTATTATTTTTTGTTACCAATCTTTTTGGAAATTGGTTACAAAATTTTTCCAATTTCTCGGGAAATAATTGAATCTTAAAGAATTACATATGAAATAAAGGTAGAATTTCCCCGGGATTGCTATAAAGTGTACAATTTTTTGTTACCGATTTTTTTGGGAACCGGTTACACATTTTTTCCAATTTTTCGAGAATTAATTGACCAAATCTTAAAAAATTATATATGAAATAGGAGTAGTGTCAAAATTTTTTTAATTTTTGGAGGATAAGTTTAATTTTTTATTAATGGATAATTTTTCATTAATGAATTGATTTTCTTGATCTATATATATAAGTACCGGACGTCTGTCTGTCTGATATATAAAACAGAGGTAGAATTTATGAAACAGAAGTAGAATCGGGGAGTGCTATAAAATGTATTATTTTTTGTTACCGATTTTTTTGGAAACCGGTTACAAAATTTTTCCAATTTTTTGGAAAATAATTGAATTTTAAAGAATTACATATGAAATAAAGGTAGAATTTCCCCGGGATTGCTATAAAGTGTACAGATAATGTCAAAATTAAGATCGATGAAAACAGCAATCAAGGACAACTTATTGAGGGAAATTCAAAATCTTTTACAAAAAATGTTGTATATCGAGAAATTTTGTAACAAAGCTGCTATTTATATCGAGGGTGGGGGCCGGGGGAGGTTTTTAGCCGGTGCAAGTCCGGCATAACCCTAGGGACCGGCCCTAGGGTATGCATTAGGCATTTTCCTCCTCCAACGAAAAAAAAAAAAAAAAACCCATATCTCAAAATTTACGGATATTAAAAAATTCACGATGAAAAATTAAAACTTTAAAAAAATAAAAAAAAATGTATTTAAATTAAAAATTAGTATTAAACTGAGAGTAAAATAAAGGTTGAATCTAAAAAAAACGAAGATGTAGATTACAGTTTAAGAAGAAAAAATAACAAATTTAGTGTTTCAAATTAATGGGTAAATTTAAAGCATATATAATTAATATACAGATAGATTTATACCCGCGCGAAGCGCGGGCCGAAAAGCTAGTATTAATATATTTAGATATTTAACATATAATATTCATATAGAATGTCTATATGTATGTATGTATGTATGTATGTTCTTTATACACTCTTAAACTATTCGACCGAATTTTTACCAAAAGTATATAAAATAGGGGTAGAATTTTCCGGGGAGTGTTATAGAGTGTATAGTTTTTCGTTACCGATCTTTTTGAGAACTGGTATCCGAAATTTTTCCAATTTTTCGGGAAATAATTGACGGGAAATAATCTTAAAAAATTGTATACAAAATAGAAGTAGAATTACCCAGGGAGTGCCATAAACTGTATAGTTTTTCGTTACCGATCTTTTTGGGAATTGGTATCCGAACTGATAAAGGCATTTTTTTCGATTAAGGATATTAAAACACAAATGAAGTCGTTTGAAGAAAAACGACTCCCGGGCGAAGCCCGGGTAACCAGCTAGTATAAAATAAGTTAATACTTATCAATACATGTAAATAGCTGATCCTTAACCAATTACAATCGAGAATCCTCGAGGGGTGCGATCCACTTAACGCCCGCGACGCTCGTGGAATTATTTCATCCTTGTTTATTAAATATTTAAACAAGGACGAAATAATGCGAGCGTTGTAAGGGTTAAATGGAACGTACCCGAGAACAAATAGACCGCTATTGTAAAACTCTCGATGGTGATTGGTTGATT